CCGGGATGATCCAGCTCATGCACGATGCCTTGGCAGAGATGAGATTAAAACTATTTGGTGACACACTCTCGGTGACATATCCGCAGATCTTACGTGTATAGGAAGCCCATGGTCCCCACCATATTGGATGAAGGCTGGCAATCACAAAATGATAGGCAGCCCTCTGTCCTGCCTCAAGAAAGACAAAAAATACAAACAAGTCTGGGCCGACTACTTCGTTAGATGGGTATGTGCTGTGCCCGCATCAGAATATTCCGACTCCGTCATTGTTCAGATCCAGGCCTACGAGAAGAAGAATATTCCTATCTGGGGCGTCACCCAGCAAAATGAGCCTCAGTAGGACGCTGGCCGCTGGTAGCCGCCACTCGTCCTCTCAGATTTTATTTCAACTTTTGGTGGGAGGCCTGTTCATTCAGTGCCGCGGAACAGAGAGATTTCATAAGAGACTATCTAGGGCCGACCCTGAACAGAACCTTTGGTGGCAGGATCAAGCTCATGTTCATGGACTTCGTCAAAGAGTTCCTCATGGATGTCTCTGACGTCGTTCTACGTGATACCAAGGCTGCACAGTGAGTTGACAATACAAGTATGGGGATCAGTGCAGCCGCTCGATGCAGGTACATCTATGGTGCTGGAGTGCATTGGTATGGTTTCGACCAAGTTTATGAACTAGAAAGGTTTAAGGCTAATTATGGCAGCAGATACGCACTCCTAGGGACGGAAGCAAGTAAGTACTGATGTCAACAGCTCGAGAATGGACATGGATGGACTCAGGCACTTGCAATTGGGATACGTATTTCTTCAATACGCCGTGGAAGCGAGCTGCTCGCTATGTGCACGGTGTGATTGTTGACTTTATACACGGTGGAGCAACTGGATGGGTCGACTGGAATCTCCTCCTCGACCAAGAAGCAGAACATGATGTATGATCATTCAAAACTTTATTGGGTCTTCCCAACGGCAATCTACTGAGTGGTAACCGCCTTTCAGAACCGTGGTGGTCCGAACCATGCTGGCAACAATTGTTTCGCACACATTCATATCGATGATGCAAATCAGCTTGTGGTATCTACCATAGTCATCCCTCGCTGATTCCAGTGTGCTCGTATCAGATCCATCCTTCTTACTATGCCTTTGGGCACATTACCAAGTTCGTCGCTCCCGGTGCTAGAATGGTCACCTCCTTGACAGTTTCGGAGTCCAAGCTAAGTTCGATATTCACTATTGACACGCTGGAGGCCGTGGCATTCGTGAACGAGGCCAAAACGGAGTTGGAAGTCATCGTAAGATATTGATCTGTTTAGGCCACCAACGTCGAGCCATCAACCTCAGGTTCTCACTAGCGAGGAAGAGGACATCCCGGATCTGATCATTGAGGTGCAGCTGCCCGACGGGAAGTACCAAACCGTCCACGTCGGCAAAGTCCCCGCCTTCAGCGTCACCACTGTGTTACTCCCCGTAACTTTCTAGGCTTGAGAATTTTCCGAAAGGTTATCTACCGGTTCCCTTCTGTTGCTTTCGCTACACCGCTCTTTCGAGTTTTTTTGAACGGAATATCTCTTCGAAGGTCAGCTTCATTCTAACAACTCATCAGACAAACTGGGTTGACTTGGACAGTGCATTCTCAATACACCGATGCTAGATTAGAGTGCATGGCACTCGCTTTCATGCACGGCTCGCATCCCACCAGCGTCGCTCATTTCGATTACTCAAACACAGAACACGTCAGCTTGAGACGACCTGGATATTGTCAAGTTCCTGGGAAGAGAAGACTCGTACGTAAGCAGATTCGACCGTATTCACTACTGAATTGACCTTGTGCACGGAGTCAAGCCAAATTGTATTACACGCGGATCATACGCGTTTAAATGTACCGTTGAGGTCACGCCCACTCCAGCGGTCCATGCCTGTCTATCAACAACTTCGTCAGTAAAATCCGGACTGTCGGCGTGTTGTGTTGAGCTGTGGCTTCAACCGCAGAGGTTACGAGTTGTTTGTCGACCTTTCGTGAGTTTGCGTGAACGGCGCGTTTCATGTGGAGGATGCATGTAGTGATGATATCTCAAGTTCCAGCATGTACGAGAGCTACCGCCTCGACTATGTAAACGAGTTAAACGCAAAGTGATACCCTTCAGAAACAACACTAAGTTCATGTCTTTGCTAACATAGCCGAAACTCGGACACCTGACTCCGTCAACAGATCTTCGACATCAAGTCCATCGGGGATAACTGATAGGCAGTATGAAGGAACAGGTTGTTGTGATATCGCAGACTCGAAATATTCACAACAGTGAACCCTCTCGATGTTCTTCATCGAGAAAGTGTCGAATTTCTACAGCCTAATTCGGACCAGGAGCCCCCTACCATCTCCAACTGGATGGTGATTTCTCGGATCCACGTTCACCTTGATAAATTCAGCCCGGCATATGAGCTCGCCCAAATCGGAGCCTAGTCAGACTGAATCCCAAGGACATCAACAATGAGATCGTACATGTCTGAGAGGCCATAGCTAGGGCCGTAGCCATGTTAGCACAGCTCCGTGGGCCCAGACCTTAGTGGAGGCAAGCATTAACTCACACTAGCTCGCCTCACATCAGCGTCCATACCTGTGATCCTGACATCCTTATCATCTTTGACAAGTCCTTCTATTCTGCTAGCGAGGTCAGATGCCCCCATCCCCGGAAGCACGAGGATATCCTCATATTGTAAGGGAATAGAGGGGGGCCCTCGGGAGGATATCCGGGCTCCTATCCAAATCTCGTTCCCTCCTTCCATTTCAGCCCATCGCTCGAACTCTTCCTTCTGTTTGGTGGTCGGCCACTCAGTAGGCGGCCCTCGGAAGACCAAGTCTATCTCTTTGCTGGCCCGATAGGCTGACGCTGTGACAGCTTTCAGAGACATCAGTATCGAATTGGGATGCCGCTGAGATGCCGTAGTCGTAACAGTGGCCGGCTGCTGATTTTTGATATTTCGCAGGAGATTTTTGAGAAAATGCATGCGGTGGGATTTGAACCCACGACCAAATACTGGCACGCAAAGAATGAACGGAAAGTTTTACCTGGCCTGAATCTAGAAAGGAAACCATACTACTTATACAGAACAAGAATACATCATCAGATTTTCCTAGGGTATAATATGCTTATAGCTCCGGTCCCGACCACCTACCCCTCTCAAAACGACGGTGCTGTATTGATTCCTTAAAGTATGAGCCAGGAGCACCACCACCTCGTTGAGCTCTGAGATAGGGGACGTTCTACTCCCTACGTGAGCTCAAAATCCTCACCAGCCTCCTTCTTTATCCTGAATTGAAAGTCGGACTCTGCCATATCCCGCTCGGCTGGCTTCAGGAGCATCGACCCACGACCGCTGACACAAGTCGATAACAGAGACCGAGGGACGATGGTGGTCCTAGAAGGCAGACCCCTTCGGAACAGCTGATGAATTAGCATCATCAATGGTAGAAACAATGAGGAGGGACATACGGCAAATGAATACACGACAGTAGCCGTAGTCCAGAAACGATGGCATGGCATCAACGGGCAGCCTTGAGTTCAATTTTCTCACGATTTTTCCACTCAGCAACAAGAGGGTTATAACTACTAGGCTGCGGCGCCAGACGCAGTAGCAGATCGACGCCGGGGTTGGTGACTGTGCCCGCCTTCTCGCGTTTGTCCTTCATTTCACTCAGAGCTGAAAGAAATAGGAGCCCTCCGTATCAAGGCTACTGAGAGGACGAACGTCCTGAGCCATTCACCACCTCCTCGCCTCTTGAACTGTATGGACGTCGGTTTTATATGAGCCAGCAGCTCGTGGGTCTCATACCCTTCCACGTTGTTACCTGCACTGAGTCAATAAGCCCCACAGCACCCCTCCCTCCCTTCCTCACACAGTCGTCCTGTTCGAGCGAGGAGCTCCGCAATGAGAGCTAGGCGAACGTTAGTCGTAGTTGCTATAACACCTACCAAGACCATGTTGATGGCGGTCTTGAGGGATGATGATGACCTACTGAGTATAATGCGAAGATTGACTCGTTTGCCCTCCTTCGTGAGGATCGCCGCTAGCCTCTCCGCTTCCGTGTCCACCTCCCACCCCTTCTCCAACTTCACCTCGACGGGCTCACTAGCCTGTAGACCACCCGAGCGGCTCGGCGGTTGGATACGACCGTGGATCCAAAGCTCAGGTTGGCCACTCCCTCCTATTTCAGGACTTAACCACAACAACATTCCTGCCACCCCTACCATACCTCCCTCCTCCCCTTCCTCATCCTCTTGCTGGTCGGCCAGCGGTGGGTGTACCGGCGGCCCACTACAGATGACCTCAATGTATCCACCGTTGCGGACTTTAGGACACATGTCGATAAACGTCTTGAGGGCCTTGCCAGCTCTCACTGGTATACCCTGATAGCATGATCACAGTACAGACCGCTGAGGGATCATCACCACTGCTCGCATCGTGGCCATATCGCCGGGCTTCCTGAATCGTTTCGGGAGGATCTCGCAGACGTTGATGGGATCTATCATAACAAGAGGCAGCTACTTGTGAATCATGTGAGGATTCTTACGGCAGAATTTGGTGTATTCAAAGTTCACCAAACTCCACATCGCGAAAGGCGGGCACCGCGCGAGGTGGGCAGGAGCTGGTAGCGCGAAGGAGAGACGGAGAGGCGACCCTCGCAGCATACCACCTAATGCTACTCGGGAGGGTAAGGGGGGAGGCATTGGTATTGGAGGAACTACCACTCAGCCGAGATGGACGAAGAAGCAAGAGCGCACTGTTCATCAGAAACACACATCAGCTGCCATGCTGTAACACGTCAACTATCGGCATTGTTTTTGACGAGATTACAAGTAAATTCAACCGCAGTTATGAGGACTTTGTGGCCAACATCATCACCATTAGGCTCGGCGGTCACATCCCCACTAGCATCCCCGCTCACAGTGGTCTCGTGCTGATCCCCCTCGGTCGATTCATCATGCTGCTGCTCATCATCTGATGGGAACTAGGAGGTCATAAAATAACGCAATATAGCCCACTATGGTCTGATGGAGTCCCTCGAGCGTTGACGGCCCGCAAGGACGTCCGGACGCTCGTGACTATCCTTCCGCGTTCCTCCACATCATCAAAGGTCTCACCTAAATCTACAGCATAGAACCGCCATCCCCATCCGTGAACGCTCACAGTGATGACTCGATATCGTGATGGCAGTGGCTATCTTAATTATACCAGCACCACTGAAACCTGCCAAAGTTCCTTTTGATCTTGACCACCATCAGGTGCCAGCCTACCCGCCATTCGGACCGTCTTTCCCTGTAGGAGAGCGTTGGTGATGACCCCAGCCATCTTGTGTGCCGGCGTAGAGTGACCAACGATGACGTCCTGTATCTCTGTAGGGCTGTCCTGACTCTCCCGCAGTCTCTGCCGAAAGCCCTGTCTAGATACCGCTATCCACAAATCACCACCACCTCGGTCTGAAAAGGGCTAAAAATGACACACCACGAGCGGAGCGAAGCAAAGCTTTACCTGGGATACCATCATCTGGCGGACCAGTGAGTGTGACCTCCAGAGGAATGTTTTGGCCCTTCCGAGATGCCGCATAAGCCACTGACCTCAGAGCTCGCCCAACAGCGTTCGCCCCTAGCTGACAGAGAGACGAGCTTATCAGTGTACCTTCCTCCTTTCCATATCCCTACCGCCTGCAGCACCACCATGTTGGGCCTGTTGGGGGTGCCAAGTCTCTGTCGGATGAACGGTGCCAAGTCGATGGGATCTGGCAAGTCCAGTAGTACCACGTCGACCTCGACGAGAACTTATACCGGCAGATGAGGTGACTCTTAGACGGTCCTCGGCCTGTTGCATCTCCTTAGTCGCGAGAGTGCGGAACCCCCGAGAACAGCGGCAGGTACGGCAGTGTGGCAAGAAGAGCCTCGTGTAGACCGACAGCATTCTGAGTGATCAATACTCCAAACCCGGTGATGAGCGCCCGAGGTGAACTCAAGAGTAACAATGCGGAAGCATATCTTCAGGGTCAACTGTGCAGCGTCCTATTGAGGTCCATGATCATCAATTGGGAACCCTTCCTCTTATCACTGCTGTCATGAGCCTTCCTTCTTTCCGATGGCTGCATCATCAGTGATGATTCATTACCAGAATGCTCCTCCAAAGCGACGTAGACCCCCCCGCGACCCTGGGAGTCTATTCCTATCCTGCCCCTGACGATAGATACACCAGGTGGACCTCAGGACGTTCTCGTAGCCGTGAGCTCGGACCAGCGTACCGGGAGACCCGACCTTCTCCTCCTCTTGGTTCCAGGCCCTGGCTGCCGATCTTCAGAAAAGGCCCACGGAACCCACCAATGTCGTAGAGGCAACTGATGAAGAGATCGCAAGTCCGACTGCTAATACCAAGAGGGGACAGAGGCCCTAAATGGAGGCACCAGCGGCTCGATGATACCCTCAGAGTATCACCCTGTAACCTCAAGGTTACCCTGTAACCGAACCATATAGCTCTGTCCGATGGAGATCCGTACTAATCCCGTGGAGGCGTTGGCTTCGTGTGGTTGGACACGCCAACCCTCTTCACGCTGTTCTGGTCAAACAGAACTGAACATCTGAAGCCGCTCGCGATAGCAGTAGATAGCAAATGCGAGATGGAGTCTCCATTGGAGACTATCATGAAAATGATTATCGAGACTATCAAGACTGTCACTTCTATCATTATTATCGAGACTATCACTCTTGTCAAAATTATCAAGACAGTCTTCACAAGACTAGCCGAATGATCATAATAACGACTCCGAACTGCAAAACGATGTAAAAGAACAACTCGTAGTTGGCAAATCATCATCACTGTGTCTCCTCTAGCAATATGCTGGTACCATCTTTCTTGTGCGAGACATGCGCCTCGTCTAACAAGCCGATGAATTGGCTCGTGCTCCTTATGAATCATAGACTTTGATGAACCTTAGGCGGTAGCACACACAAGCTGGCCGATGGCATCTGTATCGGAACGGAAAGCCACAGCAACTGCAACACGAGATGGAATTCTTCGGAACAGACATTACCCTACCAAAGATCCATATGAAAGCGTGAGGCTTCCTGGAATAAGACGTGGTTACGACGATATTTCGGTGGATACACAGTTTCGATCTAGCGCCATAATTATGCCGATTACTAGCGCAGAATAGAAAAGCTGACGACAAGGCTTTCACGATACAAGTTAGGGTCTTGACCACTACCGCCCTTACAGTAAGGGCCTTCCGCATCAGGCCAAGCGCCTAGTAGGCGCTTGGCCGCTACCACCAGTTGATCATGCACTACGATGTCCATGGTATCTGGGATGCCGAGGATGGGTGTCACTGGGAGCCCATTCGGCCTATGGGTCTCGGCCTCCTAGGAGGTGAAGGAAGCAATAGACGGGCCTAGTAGGTCCAGTAGCCGAGTATATGGCAACTGCACCGGACCGAAGATACCGAGACAGGGGAGCATTCGCGATGAGCAATCATGAGGTCGTAGGTCCTGACCACGGAAGGGCTCCTCGAAACTCCAGCTAGAGCTCCCCCACAACAAGAAGAACATCCGTTTGCTCAGAAACACAACTCATGTCAGTGTGCCGACCTCGTGACGGTATCATCATCCCCCTCAGGCTTATCGATGCTGTCTATCGTAACCTCAGCTCCTTCCTCCTCGCTGCCGCCGCCGGTGTGGGCCGCTGCTGGTTGACAACCTCCAACGGGCCCCTCCTTCAGGCGCACTAGTATTTGCATGACTCTAATGCGGTTGCGCCGTGATGAGGTCGTCTCGCCATGGTCACTGCCATCCTCACTCGTATGGTCCACAACCTCCTTCTCTGGAGTGGCTGTAGCGTCGGCTTCTACTACGATGGTGCGCAGCCGACAGACCAGATGGCCTAGTGAGCGGCCTTCCTCGCCGTCGACTGAGAAGCGCATATCAGTAAAGCAAACTCTGTAGTCCTACAGTGTGCTCCAGCTAGGGCAATGGCATCAGCCATCTTGGCAATAGTCACCGCACTAGAACCTGACCAAAACCATCCTGGCCAGGGTCAATGCTGGGGACCTCCCACCTTGCAGAAGTGCAACGCCCTCCTCCTTGAGCCTATGGGAAACGAAACCAGCCAAACTGCTCGGTTGGGTCTTGGCACCGACTCTGATGGGCTCTTTGGGTATCAACACATTATGAGCAGCTTCCTCCTCGGGTTTTATTGCAGCTATCCACAGCTCTCTACTACGGCCACCTAGATAGTAGCGTTACGCGTTCCACCATGAATGATCGAAGACTAACCGAACGCCCCTTCACTGTCCGCGGGTGCTCCCGTAACGACCACATCGATGGGCCGGTCTCTAATGCGGCTGGCATGAGCTATCGACTTGAGACCGTAGACACTGGTGTTA